TAATAGATTGAATCGGTCATTTGGTGGGCTGTTTGTTATGAAAATATCCATTCTAATTGAGCAGACACATTTTGTGAATGCTCAAATTCGGAATAAATAAACTTCCATCCGTTACATATGAAAAGAAATCATTTTTTTTTTCGTGGTTCTGATTTAAGAAAATCAATTTTGCAAGTTTCACAAAAGACTAGACTTTTTCCTTTCAAATGTTAATGATGATCGAAGAGCAAAAGCCAAAATGTTGGGCGTTATAGAACCGAGTTACGAAATTCTATAGAAAAACCGAACTCAATTTGTGACTTTCTATTATGACTTTTCGACTCAGCTCAAATTCCGAGCTGGTAGCAAAAATAATATTTTTTTTTTTTGATTTTTCTTGGAGGAAAATATTGTTGTGAGATTTTTTTTATGGCTTGACACAGAATCGTCTTCTATATCTCCAGTCACGTCGAGAGGAATTTTTAATGAAGTTCATCACGTATGAACCGTAAAACTCTAGAAAAGAAAACAACAAAATAATCTGAATAGATTGCATGGATAAAGTGGTCACTGAACGTAAATGGCTATTTCATGCAAATTCCTTCTCTCAGAAGATTGGTGAAGATACAACTAGCGATTGTTTTATTAACAACAACTTCAAACCAACCAAATAAACAATTACCATTCTTTATTTTAGCCATTTAGCTTCCACTAAACACATTTGGATGTATGCATGTGAGTGTTTCAAGTGAAAAAAAGACCGAAAGTTGTAAATGAAAACGTGATGGAAAAAGATGAAGTAATGGCTTCGGTGAAAACACTGGCGATTGTATTTGAGCCAGTACATTTTGGATTGCCAGTAACAATAATATGAATAAAGCACTTGCTTAGCGGTGATGAAGCCCATATTTCGATTTTGCCAGAAATTCATTGATGTCTGCTTTCGTTTCTTTCGTATGTGTGATGATATACAAAGCACACGAGATACAGCAGTCATTCTTATTTTTGGAATTGGCGTTTTGCAACTTTACACCACTTTCTTAAATGAATATGATACTTGAACAATGACCGTGCAATTCTATATATCAAACTGTGCGCTGAAATAGCGCCATGGACGCTAATGAATCATAAAATAAAAACAAAAGTTGTAACATGTTTTAGTTCTGAGAATTTTTCCCATTTTTTTATGCGGTGCGCACACTTTCCGTCCGTTTTATATTGGCCGCGCTTGGATGAAAACGTTGCCATTTCATGCGTTTGTTTGTCGAAATGTTACGCGCAATGGAGTTTCATAAAGTCGTGATATTGTTTTTCTCTCTCGAATGGTCCATTCTATGAAGTAACAAAATGACATTTCTCATTTCTTTGAATTTGAGTCGTTATGGAGTGATGTTGTACAATGGCATACCGGGACGCTGGGAACCTTCATCAATTGTCAACAATAATGTTACAGAGAAGGAAAAAAGTGTCGACAAACAATGGCCTCCGTGTATCGATTTTCTTCCCAAAATGTGTTCCCCTACCTTTCGAAATTGATGTTATTATTCCCGTTACATTGTTTCGTGTTTGGAAAACGTAATATCACCATTTGATTTTGGCATTCGTACGCTACCTCATTTGCATAGAGTGTGCTCATGGGGTGTTCAATAAACATATCGACCGGTTAACGCTATACTGAACAATGATAACAGTTTTGTGTGCGAAAATAAACAGTCGCATACCGATATTTGACTTCTGGTAATTGTTGTTTATCTTACGTGTCTACAGCCGGTTTCAATAGGGCTCGAAGAGTGAAATTTGATAAACTGTGATAGAATAGAAACACATACAAACACATAATCGGGTTGTTACAGTGCAAATTCATGGGACGTACGACTCAGTGGATTATAGAATAGTTTTTGTCAGCGAATGGATCTGAAGGCTTTTTTGAGAGCGTTTATCTCTCTCTCTCTCTAGCTCTTTGCATAAAATTACATGGGTTTTCTTCCACTTTGGACGATTAGCGCAAAATCCAGACATTTCCCTCTTATCTCATTGTAATTTTCAAGTGCCAATTCATTATGCTCAACATTTTCTCTTAAACAATCAGAGCAATTCAGAGTTTGTATTTGATTTTTGCAGAAATACTACGAGGAGTACTATTGCTAAGCGGAAAAAATAAGCATTGCGAGCGATTTCATTTGTTTTATCCAACAGTTCGTAGCCACTGCAACCAAATTTCCCCCACTTTGTCCATCCAAATGAAAATCTTCATATCACCTAACAAGTTATTATTTGCTTTCTTCAATGATAATGACACGACAAACTTTTGCTTAGTATAAGGTAATTGCAATCGATTGTTTGATGATTGAATTCTATCGTCCATTGTTTGCTGTTCGTTTTGTCTCATATCCACTTTCTTAATTGATTTTCTCCCGTCTTGTTTGACTGTCAATAATGTGAGTTTCATAGTGTTTTGCACACATACTCACTCTGTTTGCCCCATTGATTTTTGTATGATTCTTAGCTCTATTAATAATCATACCAAATGAAAATAACTAATTTTGTTGGTATAACCAAAAAGGATGAAATTCCCCAGCAATCGAATAAATCTAATGATACCACAAACAAACCAAAAGAGCTCGAAAAATCAACTGAAGAACGAAAATCATCATCAACCGTTGATAAAGTTGCAAAGAGTACGAAAAATACAGAACCGCAAAGCGTTGCAAATAAATCAAAAGTACCAGTGAAGAAAAGTGAATTTTCGCCCGAAAAGAAGAAAAAGTCTCCGGCAAGCTCAAGCGCGTCGCCAAAAGGTCAACAGAAGAAAGGCAATGCAAAGGAAAATCTGAAAAGCGTCGGAAAGTCAACTACCGCGAAAAGAGGAAATGAAAAAACGAAAACATCGCCAAAGGCAACTGTAACCAAAGCAAAATTAAACAACGAAGTTGATGTAAATGACATCACTAAGAAAGTGAAAGAAGCTTCAATCGCAAATTAAAAATAGATTCAAATAGTTCAGTTACGCATACTTCTTCGCTTTGAAATTACATAAGATGAACTGCCAAAAATAGTCACTCTTTCTTCAAGTCAAATGCATTTCCTGTTGAAAATTAAATGTTAAAATCATGAGCAGAACTCCTAGAATTACTTGATGACAATGAAACACACTTTAAAAACGCGACGCGTTATACTATCTTCGTGACATTGGGTAAACAATTGATATATAAACTCTTCACCACTAATGCAAAAGTCAATAGATTCGTGTGCGCAGAGTGTAACACGATGCATTTGTTTTTCGTCACTTCTTTAGTCTGTACTTTTGCAGTCGTTCTCATTTCATAAAAAAACACAATCTATGGCAAATGCTCTTAAAATTTTGATAATAATAATAATAATGACATCACGACATTCGCATGATAAGCGACTACACTTAACAAAACTTGTGAAATTCCATAGTTTACTCTTTTTTAAAGACCTAATTACAATTCTGCTTCGCAGTTTTCAGTATTTTCGTTGAGAATTATATGATGATACATTTTCTTCATCGTTTAAAAGTATTCATTGCCTAACTTTTAGTTTAAATGCCATTTAAAATATGCTCATTTGAATGTTTCACACTTAAATTAGTGGCATTATGTGCCGAAATGTCAGAAATTGTTGCTTCATGCTGTCGATTTTTGTTTTCAAATATTTTTGTCGTTGCCGAAAGTGAAAGTGTCACATATCATTTGAACTTTACATTGATGCAAAACCTTCGACGCACAGAAATCTTTTCTGATGAAAAAACAACAACAATATAACAAAAAGAAAGTGCAAGAAAGTTGTACGCTTAGACCATAAACCGTTAATTATCTGGTATCTAGTTGGCCTGTTTGCTTTTGTAATACAAACTTCATTTACCACAAATGGATAATGAGGTGCTTGACGACTAATGTATGAATCGTTTCATCCCACTCTGTGACCATAGAAAATGAATCATCGATCATACCAAAGTCTGAAGCAGTGACATTGCCGCATTGTTGCTTCAATGAAAATGCATTTTTAATATTGCACCAACCATATGCCGCAAAGCATCTCGTTTTTACATTCTCATCCGTTTTAGTTTGTATTTCAATTAACTGTACGAGTGTTTGTGTTTTGTTTGTTCGCTTGCTTGCTTTAAATGTTTAGTTTTCGTTTAACTTTTTGTATTTGTCATGCAGAAATTTTTTTTAAATATGCTAATAATTTATGTGCTTTTTCTTTTTGATTTCCATTTGTAAAGGACGAAAAAAGTTTGGATATTATGGGTCAATATAAACCAGAAATATTCTGCTAGAAGCCTCATCACACATATACATTTTGTGAAAATCATACATACTATTTGAATACGATTAAGTAAAAAAAAAACTAAGTTAAGTAATCGCAGAAAATCGATCAATAAAGAAATCTCAAGAACAAAAAAGAAGACCGAACAAAGAGCGAACTCCCGAATGATTGAATCTCATAATTTTAATCGATACAAGAAAAAAACAGGTAAACTAAAGTTGATTTTTTTTTTCAATCATAATATCGTATATATGTTTCATCTATTCATTCATTCTGCTTGAGCTTCTGGAAAATATGAAGTCCCATTAAAATTCCAAACAAAGAAAGAAAAAAACATAAAGAAACTATAGCAGATATATTGAATTCTTTGCAGATGGCACATATTCCGAAGCGTGAACCTTGTAAGCACTGTGGTCTACCCGTATTTTTTGCCGAACGTTTAGCTATTGATGGTTCATTGTATCATCGGAAATGTTTACGATGTGCGCGTTGCGACTCACAACTAACGCCCGGAAGTTTTTATGAAACTGAAGTGGACGGTGTGTTTTGTTGCGAAACTTGTCCCGATGAAGAAAAGAAAATTCGCCTCGACAATAACAATGTGGAGCATCCATCGGGGCTGTCAACACAAGTGGCGGACGAGCAACGACAGTCGTTTAGTGAGAAACTTGCCATGTTCCAATCGAATGGCAAAGGTTTACTACAGAAATCGCTTAGCGATGAAGAAAAATCGAAAAGTTTGAAACGTCTTACTGAACTATATTCGAAAAATTGTACACATGATGCAAACGATATCAAACCAACGATAAATGAATCTGAAGATTTACGAATAGATGATGCAAAAAATGAGGATGAAATCGTTTATGATATCGAAGCATCAACGTTTGATAAAAGCGACGAGGAGATTGATAATAGACCACCTTCGCTGCCGAAAACGTTGCCCCCAAGTCTTGATCCTGTCACCCCTGTTGAAGTAGCAAAACCAAAATTACCACCAATCCCATCAAAAGCAAACGTTCTGAACAAACTCTACGGCAAAAATAAAATGGAAAAAGTGCACCAAGACAATGTGAAATCTAACGCGTGCACATCGGGCCCAAACCTTCAAACGCAAGCAGGTGTATCAACGAGTGCTAATGGAGAATCATCACAAATCGAACCACAAAATTGCAGTGCTAATGAATACAGTGCGAATACGCCCAGCGCACCCAGAACAGTTCCACAAATCGATGTCAAAAAAGTGAACTCGATTGACAATAACCTCAATACAAAGAACAGTTTGCCATTAGATGCATTAAACAGTTTTACTAATGTTACCAAAGAAAATGCTGAATTCATCGAGGCAAGCCAGCAGAGCGATAATGTGCATCATTTAGAAGACAAAAGAGATTCCAATGGTATTGACAACGATAACGACGAAAACGACGACGATGACAAAAACGACAGCAGTCACGTTGAACAAGGCATCAATATAAAAAGTGTCAATCGGTTAGAACCGCTTAGTGACGAATCACAAATCGAACCAGTATCTGACGAATCAAACCATCTGTTGACGGAAAAAAGAGAGAACAAAACCAGCGAACAAAACCAAGAACAAGAACAAGAACAAGAAAAAGAACTTCCGAGTATTAGCCGTAATGGTTGCAATGAGAACACATCTATTGATACGAATATCGATAAGTATGATACAAATAATCTTGAAAGTGTCACCGATCTAAGAGAGCAAAGTAGTTCAATAAGTGATAATGATAGCCAGAAAATGGTGCGTTCGCGTCTGAGTCAATTTGAAGCACTAGCTCAATGTTCGTCGGAGCTAGAGCAAACACCACATCACTCACCTAGATTAAATCGAAATTCTACCGCTGCAGAAAATGTAGAGAGGCAATGCAATGAGAAAAAAAAGTCAATGAACAATGACAAGATAAATGTTACTAATGCAACCGAAGCAATAGTACAATTGAATGTAGATGTAGAACTAAAGCCATCCACTCGATTGTCATTAAATGCCGACGATGAAAATAATGTCAATTCAAATGCTGACTCAGACAAGATATTAAACACATTGGAAACGAATGACTTTGATTTGAAAAAACCGGTCCCACGTCAACGTGCTGCATTAAATGTGTACCTAGATGAAGAAGCAAACAATTTTGCTGCACTTAATCCACCTACTCCATCGAAACGAAAACAAAAGCCTACAGCCTCATCCGAAAAATTGGCCGATAAACATCAGATGGTCGAAGACAACTCAAATAATTTAGATATTCAGCCGAAAGCGTTGCCAGATAATTCACTGAGCAGCGAAGATTATGAACGCAAAAAGGATGAAACGAATTATCCGAATGGCTTGAATCCATTCGGCAGTGATGATGAACAAGACGAAAATGATGAACAAAATGATAGCTTTGAACCAATTCCAAAGCGAAGAGAGAGTCTCAATCCCTTTGATAGCGAGGACGATGAAATCGAATTGATGAAAGAGAGTACTCCCAAAAAATTTCCAAAAAATCACAGGTAAACATCCACATCATTACCTCTACATGCAATCGAGATACTTTTTCTCTCTGCGTTTAATTGTCAATGAAACAAAAGCAAAGTTGTAGCATTGTTCCCCGTTTTATTGCTTGATGATAGCCATTATAAATAGCGAACATTCTGATTTAATTGCAGAGTTTCAACGAACCCATTTGGAAGTGACAGCGAAAATGAAAATCAAACCGAAACCGACACAGATTCATTGTCGGCTAAGCGAACACCCGTTCCAACACCTCGAAAGCCAATGTAAGTGATGTAAATTTGTAAATATTCTTAAGTTAATTTAAACCACCTTAAACTTGTAATCATTTCTTATCAGCAATGAATTTCCTTTCTCTTCCGAGAATTGTTATCAGAGTAAATTGAATAGATGTATATTGTATAATGATCTTGACATCGTGTCGTGCATTGTATATGAAACCCACGTGAAATGTTTAATCGAATGTTTTATTCCGCCATAAACAATAGATAATGAGGCACATCTTCCATGCCATACCCTCCACGTAGTCTGAATGTGTACACTGTACAGCGACATGAACTCTTTCTCAAGACAGAACGAAAAAAAAAGAATTGCCCACACATTTCGTAAGGACAAAATCTATAAAAAGAAATACCACTTTGAGTTGGTTGGGCCATTTCCGATGAATAGAAGAAATAGAGTATAAAAGAGAACGGTGTCCTATTGTTTTCTTTAGTGTCGATTCCAAAAATATGTTACAAAATATCTTTAAATTTTATTGGCCATAAAAGCAAATGAAAAATAATTTTCGAATTTTTCATATTTCACGGCTGAATGAGGGAAAAAAGTAGATATTCAAATTTGAGCATTTGTATGTTTTCTCGAGAATGAAAGAAGTGATGCGGTCTATTTTGACAGAACTGTGGATTCTAAATGATTGTATTTGATGTATTTATGGTGGCTCACTGCATTTTCTTCTTCAAATCTCTTTTCGCTTCTTCCAATACCTCAAACACTCTCGCATATGAAGTAAGACGTAATGCATTTGTGTAATATTGAAAACACCGACACTAACTATCTATCTGGAAGTGTTGGTGTGTCTAGTGCTCTTTTGTTTCGGAAAAAAAGGGAAGAAGAAGGAGGAAAAGAAAAAATTCGACGGTGGTTTGTTGACGTTTGTGCATACGAGCTCAAAAGACGCACTGTTTATCTTTCTTACTGTCGTGGATTTATTTGTCAATGTGCTGTTCAAGTCACAGCTCGTTTTTTAGCCGTCTTACGAATGGTTCAACAAAACGAAAACAATGCAACGCACACGAAAAACCCAACGCCAGCCAGAAATATGGAAAGAGCGAGACACACACACATATATTCACACAGAGTATTACCGCATTTGGTTTTGTGATTTACAGTTAGGTCTACGCTTATTTTTAAAACATTATTTACATATTCTTCCCATTCTCTTTCCCCCTTTTCCTCGGCTTTCTGTTCCGCACACGCCGGTATTGTTCACATTTTTTTTCGGAAGAAGAAAAAATACATTTTCTCCGCATTTAGTATTGAAAGAGATAGCAAATCGCGGACATTCATTCAGAAACATTGAAGCACCTAACGTTCAGCACCAAGTCATGTGTTGGACTTGTGGGCATATTTGTACATATGACAAAACCTAAACGCGCAATGCATTTATAATTAAAAAAAAGAGTACATACAATGGTATACAATATGACATTAAGACGACTATAAAAGAGCCAGTGAATGACACCAGTTATTACATATTTGTCAACTTGTCAGTTATGTGTATATGATCCACAAATGCAAGAAGAATACAGTTGAGACGAGAGAGAGAGAAAAAAAAAACACAACAGAAATATGAAAATGATTACAACTGAAAAATACGGTAATGTCGTAATTCGAGCGATGAAACATTCGTTTCAGTTTCTATTTACTTCTCAATAAGTGTAGACGCGTTACATAGCCAAGGAAAAACTCTAGCCATTAAATTTAAAGTGATTGTTTTAAGGTTTTTGATTCAATTCAAATTTAAATAACAATGTTGAAATTTGTTTCGCCCCACCTTAGAAATGGGCTACAAACAAATCCCGACGCATCGAAACGCTCGTACAATACATTGCACCCGAAAATGCGGTTACAGGTCGGTGATGATTTACGCGGAAGTGATGGATCATTGGCTTCATCCACGAGTAATATCCGTGCAACGAGTACGCTGAACAGATCAAGTAAGATTCATGGTTCGATGAGCTCATTAACATCGACAATATTGCGACACAAAAAGGGCCGAGCACCCGATATTCCAATAGCGCACAAAGTGTGTGCCAGTGCAAGCAGTAGCCCATCGCAAAGCGTTCGTGCAACACCGATAACGCGGAAAAAACGCACGGCACCACTACCGCCAAAACATCATAGTATGATGAAAGATGATTCTCTTTCATCGTCACATTATCTAAGCGTTAGCTCAAAATTGGAAGACAGTTTTAGTTCGAGACATACAATCTCAAGTGAATCTGTTGTTGATTTGGAAAGCAGTTTAAATTTTGAACCATCTATTGAAAGTAATTACGTTAGATCTTCGAATGATATATCAATGTCGAGTGTAGAACCATCGAATTTCACAAGTGCAGACTTTAAACCAAATGATTTTACCAGTGATCATTTGAGTCTGAACCAATCAACTCCAAAAAAAACAACGGAAACTGCAGGCGCACAACGCAAACTAATACCAGTCGATGAAAGTTTGTGGAATGACTTGGCGGATACAGTGGCGGGTAGAAGCATTACTGAAATACCAGCAGTTGATGATGCCGTTACTTATCGACGCAAAATCATTCCAGATCAAATGATTACGCCGATCAAAACTCCACCTTCCGCTACCGATCGTCAATGTGAAAAAATGAAAGAAAACAAAGAGTCACAGAATAAAAATCGCCAAAGTCAAATTGTGCTGCCCACAAATGTGCACGATGAATCGAGTCAAATGTATAGTCCAAATAAATCGTCATATGGCAAGTGGAAACGTCGAAAAGGCCCAGCCCCTACCCTGCCTATTCCACCACGTAAAGTGATTCAAATGTTGCCATTGCAAGAAATACGACACGAACTCGAGGTCATCGAAGTACAACAGCAAGGATTAGAAAAGCAAGGTATTATGCTAGAAAAAATGATACGTGAACGGTGTGAAGGCACCGAAAACGAGAATCTTCCGTTAAACGAATGCAAACCAAACTCTAAAGAAGTCGAAGACCTCATTTTGCAACTATTCGAACTAGTCAACGAAAAAAATGAACTGTTCCGACGACAGGCCGAGCTTATGTATCTGTGAGTATTTATTTTCTTCGCTTTTTGTTCTGTGGGAAAACACATATAAATTTTACTAAACATTTGTGCTTTCCGTTATAGACGCAGACAACATCGGCTGGAACAAGAACAAGCTGATATCGAGTATGAAATTCGTGTCCTTATGGCGCAACCGGAGTACAACAAAACCGATTCGGATAAGACGCGAGAAGAGGCTTTAATATCGCGTTTAGTTGATGTTAGTTCATAATTGTTATTATCATAAAATACCTTACAACAACAGTTAACAATTCTAACTGGAAAACAAATATTTTGTATTTAGGTCGTGCAATTGCGAAATGAAGTAATTGAGAGTCTTGAAATGGACCGAATACGCGAAGCAGAAGAAGATCAAGTAAGTTTCCGCAGAATGTTTTTTCTCTCTTCAGAATCCACTCTGTAATGGCTTGTGTTGAACATGACAATAAATAAATATTTTTATTCGTTTGATTTAGAGTATCAAAGAGCGCCTCGAATTGCATTCGGCGAAGCGTGATGAAGAACTGTGTCAACAAACACCTGTCAAACTATCGAAGAAGGAGAAGAAAAAACAAAAAGAGTCAAAGAAGTTGGCCAAACAAAAGAAAGTAGATGCAGATAAGGTAAATCAGATTGTTCATATTTCCAGAGAAACGTTTTTAAACATGTATTTTATTGTTCATTAGGATGCTGACGAAAGTGAAATAAGTCAATCGGAGAAATCAAAGGAGAAGAAAAAGAAGAAGAAGTTTTTGTTCTAAGCCGACCAACCATTGTATAATATACTGAGGCCTTCCATGCTGAAAAGTAATTGTTTTCGTGATAATAAAGTTAACTCCGTTTGTACACGTGTTGAATAAAAGTGGATAATGCTGTCAATAAATTTATCGATCATGATCCAATTAATCGTTGTGCAGCAAATTCATAGGAATGTTAAGAAGAAAGCATTTAATAACAGTCAACACTTCGATCATCCATCAAGGAAGAAAATTGACACATTTGTTAAGCATAAGATTACTATAATATCTGATTTTGTTTTATTTGTTAAAACACCAAATCATTTCTCCATAATCGCGGGAGTATCATTATTATTGTTAACGCGCACTGAGTGCTGACTTTGTTTTAAAATGTCATTTAGATTTTGAATAGCAAACACATTGTGATCGCACAAGCTAAACCACTCTCTCTCGCTCTGCACAAGATGTAGATGCACCGCACCGATCACAAATCGATAATTATATTGAATAATAGTAGTCAAGTGCATAAAATGGTGCGACATTTATCGATCACATGTCAACGATAAAAAAAAACTATTAATTTCTAAACTGTTTATTTTACTTAAATTTGAAACAGGGAAATATTTGATTTAGCTTCTTTATTTGTTTTTCTATATTTCGCAACAAGTTTTTTTTATTTTACTTATTATATATATATTTTCTATTTTCGTTGTAAAAAAAATGCCTAAAATGTTATTATTAAGTTTAATTGAAACATCTTTTTTTCCTTTTCCATTACGAGAGTTCGAATAAATGTTTACATTTCTTTTTTTTCTCAAGCATAACCAATGGTCTTTTCGTTCTGGTTTCTTTTCCCATTGATTTATTTGAAAGTGATGCATTTAACAAGGTGCATATCCTACGTAAGTAAAGGAAATCAACTTAATACTTAATATATAGCATATGAGGTCATCTTCTTAATTTAATTGAAAAGGCACGTCTTATATATCGTCATTTGATTCGATTCGACGAAATACGACTCATTGTTCCACTCAAGCCTTTTGAGTCACATCAAGTCACATTCACAATATTGAGTATATTTTTATTTTTTAAGAAATATTGTCTACTTTATGGCGAAATTTATTCTTGAATCACTTCTATTGAGTAATTTTTGATTTTTTTTCAACGGAAACATCTCTTTGATACATCTTAACAACATACAAATTGCGCAATTACTAAGTTTAAACGTTCGATTTCATTTGGTTTAGTAACACCTGCATTTATCAGCTGGACAATCGGCATTGTGTTTAATACAAGCGTCTTGGCAATACACATCGGCTCCTTCCTTTCCAGCAATTTTCCCAATAGCTTCGCATGTTGAACTAAAATTTTAATCCAAAATAATTACATACAATTTATAGCAAAACATATTTTATTCAATGCTTGAAGTTTTTTTTTCGTGTTTCACTTACGGGCAATGACAAACTGATTCAGGACAATTTGGTGGATATCGCATACAGTTTGTTTCACACCATTCTCTCATGCCCGGCAAAATACGATAGGATTGCGATGCAATACACACTTGGTCGCTGCAAATAAAACGGATGAAATGTTTGAAAATAAAAAATTTTGCATTCAGAACCACAAATAAAGTTGATCACAAATAAAACTCACCGGACAATTAGTGGGAAAACATTTTCATCTTCTGGTGCGCGGTAATCTCTGTAGTATAACAAGAATGGATTATACTTTCCGATGAAGAGGGGTGGAATACCTCCAGTATTAGATGTAATTGCAACGTCGGCACAGTTCCGGAAAATCTCTGCGGATTGTAAAGTAAATGTAAATTTTCGTGAAAAACTTTTACTTTTTCTCAGTAGTCCGTATGCATATATGTGTTTTATTCACCTGGTCGTCCACATCCAAGAGCTTCTGTTCCGTTGGCGCATGTTCCAAACATATTTCCCGTGTAATAAGTCCATTGGAGAATACATTGTGTGCATGTTACGAACGGTGGTAACTCAATCCGATATTTAAATATACCCTTTTTGGTGCCATCAAGTACATAATATTTGTTATCTTCGGCGTCTTCAACTTTCAAGGGATACTCATCGAAACAGTCTTGATCTGCTTCAACATGCGGATTATTATTGGGGCATAGTGAAATTTCAAAGTAGCCTAGGTGATTTGCCGTCAGTTCCACTTCAACATCAATCGTCTAGGTAAGGAAAAAAAAACTCGGCTTACAACATTGAATTAAGTAAAATTCGCTTTAGCTACTTACCTGTCCAGCGGCGTAAAACTTTGAAACTATCCCCTTTGCATATTGTCCACCGGCTTCGTGCGGACGAGGACTCTCCAAGTGATATGCATCCCCACACACTCCACATTTACCACCGTTTTGTTCCCATTGAACTAAGGTTTTTTTTAATCACCATTTTTTTGTGAACAAAAAAATTGCGTTTATTGAATTTTTAACGCCGTTCGTATGATAAAAGAACTCACAACAAAATTTAGATTGACTTTTATGATGATGTCAAACTATATTAATTACCTGCATAGCCACCACAGTACAGTTCGTTGTCATTATAATTTACTGGGTTCGGATATCCATATCTCCACATAGCGTTACTATGATGATATGAACGACAAAATGTTTGAGAGTATATACTGAATAATTTTCAAAGAGTTTCGCAACAATATGTTGATGAATTTATATATTTACCGTGCCGGAGGTTGCATCAATCGTCCATGTGCATTCACGAGTGTTAACGTAACGAGCAACTGTGAACAAGGTAATAATTTTATCACTTTTTAGCACTTGAAAATATATACGGAAAAATGTAGCTTCGAAAAAAAAGAACAACCACATGTCAAACTTTTTTTTTAGATGCATTACGATGTGACGTTTGGTAGTCGTTGTCGTTGTATGAACATGTTTGATCAAATTATATCAACAAATTTATCTCGGAGAATATTAATTGTTTTAGCTATCACTTTGTAATTGTACGCGTACCTGGAAACCAGTGCAAATGATCACATTGCCTACGGCCATTGTCTGTAAATGGAAAAGTATGGATAAGTTAATTTAATTGAAACGCCAGATTAACGAATTCAATTAGGTTGTAAGTGTATTACATAAATTGAACGTAATTAGGTGAATAAGACTGGAAGAACACCTCAATTAAAAGGTATTTTATCAACGGTGTAGAGACACACAGATCGGAACCAATTGAAATGACATAAAATCGGATGAATTATGGAACCTCATTGGAAAAATACCAATCGCTTCTTGTTGACCAAAATCACAAAAATCTAAACATACATTTGGACTAATGCATTGGATTATACCAAAAATTGAAATTATTTATTTTGTTATTCAACTTTCACGTGTTAATGCACTCTTGCGGAAGGTAAATTCTTTATCATTATCAAAAATTTAAAAAAAGCAAATATAAAGCAATCGCTATTTATTGTTTCGTTTCGTCGATCGTTTTTTTTTTTTCTGTCGATGCACATAGGTTACAGAATTGCTGTGATTAAGTTGTTTTGACGTCAGCAATACATGTACCAGAAAATTTTGTTGAGTATGAATTTGTGTCTAACCATTTGAATTTAGGTGTTTTTTTCAACATAATATACGTTTGAAATGGAAAAACACTGAAATACGCTTGAAAGTCATTTGTATCAAAGCCATGTCGCTACTTCTTTCAATTTTATCACGTAATAATTTCACCAAAGATGTCTTGGGAACAATTAGTTTTCAAGTGGCCCATGATAATTTTCATAGGCAACAACAAAATGGTCATTAAATGCAAGTTGAAGTGTGCAACAATCCACAAAATAGACCACATAGCTCGGTCACTATGCTATTTGTTCATTGAACATTATGTCAATTTTAATTTTATAGCCATTTCATTTTAGTATAATATATGGTTTGATTTGAAATAAATAAAATCTAGTGGAGATTGCAGCTATGAAAAGAAGGCCCTCATATACTTATCAAACTTGTTTTTAATTTGTTAAACAATGTTATTTGGTAATGAAGGATTCTATTGATAGCAGCTGCCATTAAATATTCAATAAACCGTGACTAATGCTTCATTAGGTAGAGCCTGTGCACATTTTACAAAGGCGTCGATGTGACTGCAGTTGTATTTGAGCTATTTCTCAAGCATTTTGTATTTGCATATCACATATCGAAGGTATTTTACTTGAAAAAAAACCACAACAACAACCATGATCGTCACATGAAAATTCCATTTTAGCTAGCACGTTTTTTTGTTCACCACTTTTCAACACTTAGGGGAAATTGGGGAATTCCGGGCCACACTTTATTTTTCGTTCATAACTTTGTGATACATATACTTTTCTTCAAAATTAGAATCTCTCAGTTGTAGTACGCCTCAAATCCTACCATTTGGGTCTTCTCACTTTTAAAAATTCAACTTTGCTAAAAAAAATTTGGTGGTTGGCAAAAAAAGGACGTTTTTGATATTTTCAAAAATCATGGGGAATTGCGGGCCACTTCATCGATTGACATAAAACTGACAATATATTGGTGAAAAATGTTTATTGATCGTTCAAAATGACAAAAGAAATTATTTTAAATGAAATGAAATTGAAAAATCGTAAAATCAAGATCAAAATTAGTCCGATAATTCGCAGGTAGCGCATGTAAAAGAGCTGGTCGTCATATTGGCGCATTTCAAGTGAACTGGTTGGTCGCATGAATCGCAATGAATGGAATTATTTCGATTGAGATTCTTTGGCATGTTTTCCTTGCAAATGATGCAGATCAAAACATCTTCTTCTTCTTCTTCAGTAGAAGATTGAGTGCGCTGTTTCTTCTTTGACGTGGTTGATACTGGACGGGTTTTGCGGTTCTTTGTTGCTGGTGGTTTTGTTTTTGCATCCTTTTGTTGTTGTTGTTTTTACAATTTCTGGCTCTTGGCTTCAGCTTTCTGACGCAATCGGGCCACAACCTCTGGCGATGTTAAAATGCTTGTTTTCATTGGCTCATAAAAAGGACCCTTAACTGATATTTTGTCGGAATATGGCTTGAAAAACATTGAATGTGCAATAAACATGCGTTTTGAACTCATCTAATGTCAAAAATGTAGTGGCCCGTAATTCCCCAGAAAAAATGGCCCGGAATTCCCCAAATGCTCATAATTACAAGATGGTTGCGCATGACTCACTCAATGTATCTTTATGCAAAATTCCTTTTGTGAGGCGAGAGAATAATGACACACCATAAAAAAACATACTTACCTGAATTTATTATCGAAAAAAGGTCGTTTAAAATATGCAAACACGATGATCAGAAAAAAATATTTTGGAATTTTTGTAAATGCACTTATTGCAGAGAGCTCACAGCACGTGTTCACGCGTCGAGTATTGATAGGAAACTGATATTAGGCTAAGACAAGACAAATGAAGCAATTTTGACTTGTCTAACTATTCAAGTGACAGAGAAAAGTCGGGTGGCCCGCAATTCCCCATGGCCCGGAATTCCCCAATTTCCCCTACATAAAATTAATGTTTTTCATTTCATTCCAACTATAATTAAATTTTCATCAAAGTTAATAAACAAAGTCCTATTTTATGATAAAATACGCAGTCATATTTGAAAAGAATATTTCGTGTGCATATGAAAAATTGAAATGGACGCAATGTAGATCAAAAATCTGTAAAAAAAAATTATTCATTGACTTGTGGATGAAGCGGCTGTGTGTCTATTCATCTGATATTAATTAGCTTGTACACATACGATTTTTTTGCAATTACATTCGTTTGCACATGTGTTTCATATTGAATTTCCAATTATGTGACGTAAATTCATTTATCATCGAATTTATTTGCCACGCTGTACACTGATGAAAAAGTGTGAGTGGCTGCCGTCCATCGTATTTATCAAGCAGTTGAATAAACGATGTTAGCACATATACACACTAAATGGGATCTCTTTGCTTCGAAAATTGTTCATTCGTCGGCGGCTGAATTATGCCGATATTGGGATACGGCAAAGCAGGCTCACACATAGCAGAAACAAAGGACAAATGCAATTTGGCTGATGAATCGTTTTAAAATTTACCACTTTTTACAAAGGCAGCCAGATTGTGTGATGCACCATCGCATCCATGTCGTTCCAGTAACTCTAATATGGTGTTTGTACATTTTAACTAAATTATAGAAAATGTTCAAATTGTCGTTGCGGCATTCGAGTGAATACAAGCAGCTGACTCAATTTGATTCACATGAAATTTGCATTAAAAGCGATAAGAGCCAAAATTACAATCATACTATGATATCATGGTAACATGAGCAGGAGCACGAAGAGCAGGAGCAGGAGCACACACAGAGAGAAGACACTGAATGGAAACCTATTGAGCGCTCCCCAAAAAGGAGCAAACGAGAAAATGAAATGGTGCAAAGAGCAGTGGTGAATGTACTGTACTACAGTGCGTGGAAGCGTATGCCGCCACAATCACATGCTAAATCCAATGCACCCCGTTCGCCAAATGCCATGGCTCTTTGATCGTTCCCAAAAAACAAAATATGCATTTAACTCCGACACTGATGTCGGTTTATATAAAGGTGCTGTGCTTGTGTGTGGCTACCGCTTCAGTCATTCTGCGTTCTGTCTCATCACTTATTCATTTACATTTAAACGGCTTTGGATAAATTCGTCAATCTCATCGCTTGTTTATGTATTTTGGCATGCTTGTTGTACTACACATTGCATACTGTAAAGAAAATAAACAGAAAAAAACACGAACACATACACACACACACACACACAGCCAGCCGTACAAGCGATATTCTCCCGGACGAACTAAACATCCGACACCCTGATTAATTTATGTAGAAAACTTTGGCAATGCATTTCCATGCAACAAGGTAGTGAGCATCATATTGCTTCAATTTGAAATGCTGTTTTCGCCTGATAAAGAAAGAAAACAACATAAGTTTACAGCACGCTCGAGAATTCATGCTGACTATATAAATCATTATGGAAATTTATGCTCTATAACTTTTTAGAGTAACATACTGATTAGAACGATAGAACGAAGAAGAGACTTTGATATCAACTTTGAATCCCATGGTGAGCGCTCAAGCTGAAAGGGAGCGAAAGAGTAGTCGAGCGAGACTGATGATTCACAAGTCAATTCATTTCACGTTATTATCAACTGATTTTATGTCAGAATCAGCAAACTCGTTACGTTTTTTTACTGCTAGTGTAAATCAATTACTTGTCATTTGGCTTTCATATGGAACTTTTCTAAGCGATGGTTAGTATGGATAGAGATAGATAGTTTAGAATGTGTGAAGAAGTTTGTCGAACTTTGATGCATCCAAACAAATGATAAATAATCAAAAAAACTATTTTCCTGTTATCACAGACACATTTTTGATGTCATTATGAGCTCAGCAAATGAATTTGTAGGCTATTCTTGAGAATAGTCAGTTTTAAAGTCGCTCAAGAATTTACATTTTAATCTATTGATTTAATATCTGCCATATACAAACGAATTTTCAACACAAGCACACACGAAACGATATGTCAATGAATTCGATGGAACATGAAAATATCAATAAAATGCTTTGTCGATTGTCATCAAGAAGAAGTGCAATGACCGGCCAATGGGACATTCTAATTATAGTTTAACTTGAAAAAAAAAAGAATTCATTATATTTGGACTAATGGAACCAAATTATCCATAAGACTGCTTGCGAAATCAAATGAATCCGACTCGTAAATACAGTGAATGAAATTTGAATTGTTCGCGAGTTTCATTTTTGTTTAAATGTTGGCTAAATGGATATTTTAGAAATAATGGCCTTTTAATCAATGGCAATATGCTATAATACCCGTTTAGTATTATGCAAATGCTTTTTTGGAGAATATTTCACGAAGTCAAGCCTTAACATAAATGTTATGTACCGTATTGATACGGTAATTTGGAATAATGAGTCTGTTCATCGCGGATTAATCGAATAAATACATTGAATTATTTATGATTCATGCGTTTCGCCTTTTTTCATCCGAATAAC